GTTCTGAGCAATACTGATAAAAGTGGATATCACAGTATTCCCCAAATATATCATGACATCACACAACGTACAAGTTAATAATGCTAATGAAAGGGTGACACCTGCGACTGTGCTACAAGAAAGTCTTAAAAACCTGTCATAGCGCGTTTGTTTATTCTCTTAAAATGACGCAGAAGTGCTGTAAATATTAACCAGACAGCAAGCACAATTTCAGAAAGAAGAAACATACTCTGTTTATGAATTTGAATATGAATGATTCTGAACTGATCTTTCAAAACAATCTGAAGCACCTAATAATGACGTACATTGTCATAACTGTCAGGTCCTGGATCAAATAGTAAAAGTACAGAACATATAATTAAAAATTAATTATAATTAAAAAAACTAAAAACAAACCAACTGGCAGCAGAAACACTACTATTTCACAGGCATCATACATCATACATATAATGCTTATTACAGAACAAACGTTAAAATATATACTCTAAAGCAATTATCACGGTATGTAGGAAAAACGATCCAGCACTTTAATCAAGTCCTTTACAACTTTCAGCAGACATTTCAACATAAAACAGAACCTTAATGTTAAATAGTGTTATCTAAATACACAGACCAATGTAAAAAGACTTGTTTCAAGCATTATCAGCGCTATAACACAGTAAACGATCACAATAATGACGTACAAATGCAAACACGAAGACGACAAACGCGTAAAACCGTGTTAGCTACAAAACTTAAACGATAATTTCAAATACTCCACTACCGACCACTTCAGACAGACATTAACCTTTAAGTTTTCTTACGTACCACAAAATGTGAACAGATAAAACTTGAAAAACTGCTGAGTTAGCCGAGTTAGCCAGCTGGCTAGCTGTTTTTATGCTTCGCTAACGAAAACAGCAGCTGAAACTCTCACCAAAACGCTCCACTTTAATGCTGAGGGCGGTTAAATTCGTTTACAGTTAGCAGCACTTACACTTTGCTCTCAGTCGCAGCGAAGCGGCTTTGGAAATAACAGCACGGCGTTACCAGGTGAGCCGCACACGGCTAAGGCAACTTCGACGGAGAACACAAACTCTCCAATGGAGGCCTGTGCAGGCGGCGGGTGCGTGGTGGCTGCTGTGGAACAGCCAGGGCGCATGCACACAAACACGCCTGGAAAAGCGGGAGTCTGTCCGTCCCGCGCTTTGAGCGCCCCTCAAATCGCCCGCCAACATGCAAAACTCGCGCCAAACAAAAGTCGATCTAACAAACAACCCAGGCGGAGCAGCAGCTGTTGCCCACTTGCCTTTAATCGTCAGTAAAAGAGATCGGAAGAAACCGCGCTCCTTAAGATTCTCCGTCTCGCGTTCACTTCAGTCTCTCTCGGTCGACCTACAGCGTGCTTCATATCAGCCACAGCTCTCTCTCACACACACACTCCCTCACACATACACACACATCCGTGCTCCGCGAGGGTGTGACGTAAGAGTAACCATGGCGGCACCCAGGACCGCGCAGGCTCCCAGAGGTGGAGAGGTGTTTCTTCATAAATCGATTAATATGTACAGAAAACTCTGAATGAACAGTCCGATCGGACAGTCAACCAGCGTAGACTGTTTATTTTATTGCATTATTCGTGATGAACAGCCCGTCACTGTTGTAAATCAGGGTGGGTTCCACATGTAGATGCTCATATAGTCAACTTCATATTCAACTCTTTGCAGAAAATAGAAAGACCTGTCATATGTGTCATATACAGTCCCTAATCCTAACCTGCATATATGCTTTCCCTACTATAATTTGCTATAAACACATGACTTGTAAATGACATAATGTTGTTAACGGCAAAGGCACAAGTCACTGTCGACTGCAGGATGGTAAAATGAGAAACAGGAATGCTTGTAAGTTACATAATGAGGTATTTTCCCATATTTAATATTAACCCACCTCTTGTGTGCTGAATTATGAAAAACGTAAACAAATTGCAGCTGCTGAGTGACTGTGACACGGAAGTCATGCCCAAGCGCGCTGCAGTGCATGCTGGATGAATGCTAAGCTAGGCTAATCTAAACTTAACTAGATGCTGCAGTTTTACATGACAAGTAGCATTTAAAACATCCCACACTCTAGGAATTGATTAATTTCCAGTAGTAATTCATGTTATATCGTTGACGTTACATGATGGGGGCTAATTCATTAATCATGTTGTCTTGTATGAACCTCAGCTGGACCACATTCATTAGCCTAGCGTGCTAAATACACGAACAGTCCAAGCCAGCTAGTTTATTCAGATGGTAGAAAAACGTCTGTCAGATATTTAAACTGCTTGCTCGTAAGTAATTTCCATTGGTCTTTGGGCCATATAATGCTTATATTTATTGGAAGCAGAAGTTGCATCTGTATATTTTTTTGCAAGGGATCCCCAATAGCCTGTATAAAGCTAAAGTCAGACTAAAGGTCTTGAGTGAAAACAAAAAACGATATCAGCATAACTCTTTCACTCTGTACCCTAAGACGATGAACATTTCATCACACTAGTTAAGGTTAAACTAAACATGGGCGTAACACAACGTCCACTGATAAACAAAAACATCAACAAAAAAAATGAAACTAAACAAGGCTAAAGAGAGGCGCACGGCATTCTGGGAGTCCTCAACATGCTCCTCTCTGCTCTCCCAGTTGGCCCAAAGTCGTAAGTCTGGTGGCAGTGCCACAAAAAAGTAAATAAGTAAGTAAGTAAATAAATAAATAAATATTGGCATACCGCACTTCATGTATCAATTGTAAAAGTTAAAAATTCATCAAAAGAATTATGGGAATATAAAAGTGTAACATTGGAGAAAATAGATCTTAAAACTCTTTTGGACTGCATGGCTGTTGTTATTACTCACCATCAGACACAGCTTTGCCCCCTTTCATAACCTCAGCGTACTTTCATGTGTTCATTTCATTCATGCTCTACTGCAATATATTAGTAGTTGAGAGCTAGCTTGCATTATATAGTCTAGTTTTACCAGTGAATGTAGAGCAAGATAGCAGAAACAGCACACAGCAAGGAGCACGTAGCTTTTCTTCACTGCAGCGTTAACGCTAGATCAGGGGTGTCAAACTCAACAAGTATGGGCCATACAGATTTTTTCATTAATGTTGTGCTGTAACCCAAATTGGCCATTGTTCGTTCAAAATATGCAAAAACTTCAACAGTAAAATATAGACACTTGTAGTAAACCTTGAAATATTCCATGAATACTTGAAAAATTCAAAATTTAAATGCCCACAGGAGCTCAGTCTTTTAACCCTACTTATCTACTTGAGCTAGGCACCTGGTATCATTTCTTTGCTGCAAGTTCATTAAGACTTGAGCTCAATTTCTGAGCTGCTGAGCTGAGGTTATGTGTTTATATTAGTTGAACTGCAGCTGAAATGCAGCTAGTGTGTTTGGTGATATGACAGGTGTAGAATTGCATGGAATTGTGTAGAATTGAGGTGTAACCGCTGCCCCATAGATCATTGTTGGGGTAGGAGAGTCGGAGCACACATTACGTTGCAGTGCATGCTGGGGACTGTAGTGCAGCGCATTGTGAAATGGGCTAATATTAATAGAAAATTAAAACTTTTGCGGGCCGGACAGGATTATGTCATGGGCCTGATCTGGTCCGTGGGCCTTGTGTTTGGCACATGGGCGCTAAATGCTGGAACATTGATGTAAGCATTTGATTGCATTCAACCACAAAAGCATTAGTTAGATCATGTACTGATGTTGGATGATTAGTTCTGGATCACTAACTTGACTCCAACTCATCCCAAAAGTATTGGATGGAGCTCCATTACTCTGGAGAGCACAGTTCCACTGCTCCACAACCCAATCCTGGCGGGTTTAATCACCTGCAGCTGAGGCTCAGCAGTGGGCATGGTGGCCTTAGGCTCATGTGCGGCTGCTCCAGGGAATCTCATTCTATTGACAGTGCTTTTCTATGGGGGTTGTACAAGCTGTGCGTGTGCAATTGAATGCCTGTATCAGCAATGGGTGCACCTTAAAGTAGCTGAATTGATTAATTAGAATGGGTATTTTCAATAAGTTTGGAAATATATCACTGTTGTCGGGAACAAAACATCGTATCTCCAAAGTAGAAACTTTATAGGAGAAGGAAAAAACATACTTTACTTCAAATTTAAGTCAATAGAGCCAGACTTTTTTCCAAGTAATTTTGGTCCATTTATCATGAAATTTACACATAATGTAAAGGGCAACAGGCATTTTCAAATTATGCCAAAAACTGAAAAATGACAAAAATGGAAATACGAGGTTTTATTCGGACACCAGCAATATAGTGTTCCTTCTCAGACGTAGTGACCTTCCACTAAAATGAGAGTACCATTTTAGTGGTATAGGCAACATTTACTTAGTTTGCATTATATTTATTCAAGTTCAAGTCTATTTTCCAAAGCAATACTCAATTTTCTAGCATTTTTTTTAGTTAAGTTGAGTTAGCGCCTTCATCCTGCACAGCTTTTTTTTATTTATTGCTTATTTATACCTTATTCCAGAGGATTCAGAAAGGCAATTCGGTTTCAGTCTATCGACACTGTACAATCCAAACATGACGATTGATATGAACAATGTCCATCACAAGATCTCAGTTAATCTCAGTACACAAGACTGATATATCAATCATCTACTCTGTGCTTAATAAGGAATGCTAAGCCTCATGGAAAAATAAAGACATCAAGTTCCTTGCTTAAGTTAAGATGACAAAGCTCTAAGGCATCAATTACATGGCTCCCAGTCCTCTAGGTTCTACAGCTTTTCCTCAAGCCCCAATTAAACAGTGAGCAGCCAGTAAGGTTTTGAAAGCCTCCTGACATCAGAGATCTTTGATTCATTGAGGCAGAAAGTAGAGGAGGCAGAAGAACTAATTGCACTGCATCACACAGTACATCATAGGGTATGGATTGACAGCAACTACAACCTAGTCATTTTGTGAGGTAAACTGATGGAGCAGTCTGTCTTTGGGCTAATGGTGTTGAGGATCATCATTTCTATCATTGGTGTAGTGGGAAATACAGTCTTGATCATATCAATCCTCCATATGACTCGACTGAAGACATTTGAAGTGTTCTTGCTTGGACTGGCCTTGTCAAACCTTGAGGAGATTATAATTGTGGACATCTATGATGTGATTGTGCTTCGCTCTGCTCACAGCTTCGGTTTTTGGTCCTGCAGTGCACTGAAATTCATGACCATCTTTGGAGAAGTAGCTAGCATCCTTTTCACGGTGCTTATCAGCATTTTTCGCTATCAAAAGCTGCACAACGCTGCCATTCGGGTGATCACACCTATCTTTATGGACAGCATGAAGATAGCCATTGGATTCAGTGTAGGGTGTGTTTTGGTTGCTGTTCTCTCAAGTGTGCCAACTTACATTGTAAACTTTGATACCTTGCCGGACATGAACAACTCCACTACCGAAGACTGCCCAGCAGATTTCTTCCACTGTCCAAAAGGCAACTGTCCCACTTTCAACAATATATACAAGCATCTATTTCTTTTCCTCTATCACCTTTTGCCGCTTGTCATCGTTACAGGGACAAGTTCCCTAATTATCAAGATTTTGACAGTCCAGCAGAAAGTGGCGGAATTACATCATGATTCGGAACCAGCTGCCATCGCTGCCCACCATCATCATGAGAACTCAGTGTTCCATCGAAGCACCGTTGGCATCCTGGCTGCAATGGCAGCCTTCCAGGTATACTGCAGTTTATATCTGATTCTTCACCTGATGTTTAATCCGTATGACTTTCCTGCATGGTCTGAGCTGGAGTTCTTCATTACAACATTCTACACAGCTATCATTCCCTATGTCTATGGTATGGGACATAACTTTTTCACTGTGAAACATTTTATGAGGCATTAGCCCATCCAGTTTTTCAGCTTAAAGAATTATTCCACACATTTTTTTTTAATATTCCTGCATAATTATATAGTAAAGATGTAAACAAAGTCATGGTTTGATGAGAAATGCTCTGTTCTAGAGAAACTTACAAGTCAGAATTGTTCACAGCGGTGGTGATAGGAACCAAATGTCAGAAGCATTGAATGCCTCTAAAAGCTCCCTCACAGAAAGTTTTTACATGAAATAGTTGCAATAATGCTGCCTGATGCCTTAAACATTGTTTATGATTGGAGATAAGCTTTAGGCCTAAAGCATACTTAAAATCCATTTACAGAAGAGAGGTACATGCAGGGTGTTGTAAGGCAAAATATTCTCCAAAAGAAAACTTTTTTTCATATTTACCATAATTTTGCCATCAACATTACATATGACAATTCAAACTTGTGTGGGTTCACTGATGATTTTGTATAGTACATAAAAGGGTCCTCGTTCCTGTCACCTCCACTGTAAAGAAATTTGAGTCAGTAAGTTTCTCTACAATGAACCGTTTCACATCAAAACACTTGGAATGACTTTGTAAACCGAGTTATGCAGAAATGTTTAAACATTGACCTTTAAAGTAAGGACAATTATGCATTTAACATATATCATAATTTGTTAATTGGTTCATGTTTCACATGAAAAAATAAATAACTTGTGAGTTAACTGAAAATTACTGTTATTATACTGTTATTATATTTCAGTGTATTCAAATCACAGTACACTTATGCATAAGTCCTTTAATTTTAATTTTTATAAATAGAAAAGCTAATTTTGTATGATTAATAGGAAATATCTTCAATTTCAGTGCTGCAAAAGAATTAGGTTATTTCAGCAACATTCACTGATGAAATGAGTAAGAAGCATACTTTTGTGAGCTTCCTCAACAAGTACTTATTGTTGTAATACAAAGTAGTTCTGTAAATGAGTTCTTAATTATTAAATTAGCATTTTTGTATTAAGTCCCTCCTTAGCACTTTTATTAATGCATATAGCTCAGAATTTACCACGTAAACCCCCCCACCACCTTTTTAATAATTACTCCACCACTCTACAGATCAGTTCTACTCAAGTGTCTTTATATGTATCAGTGGTGTCAACAGTAAAAGTAAACAGGATGAAATGAATGAGTGTGATTTTGTTATATTCCTTTTTAGGAATATTTGGAACGCAAATATATAAATATAGTCAAGTGAATCAAGTTATAGAAGCCCCAAAAGCTGATGTAACAAGAATGAAGATATACATGTACTTGCTTTTTGCTGTTGCAGTCATGTCCTTGTCTGAACTGTGCAACGCTTGCTGAACACTGTGACTCACTGAATAAATTTCTCTGAATTCAGCTTCTGGCTCTGTGCTTGGCATTTTCTCATCCCAACAGAAGAAAATGGCCCCCATCTCTCACAGCACCAACATTAAGATCTTAAAGACGCTTATTCACCACATACAAAATAACATGAACATTTTCCTACATTCTTAGATTCCTGGATCTTTTATTTATTCTGCTTAACTAAATATTGATATAATGCCCATTGTTTACAGTCGCACATCATGGCAGGGCTGATTTCACATTCCAAATGGTTTATAGCTGATGGGTCGTTTGTTAGCAGAAGATACTTTGCACAAACACTAGCTCTAAACAAGGGTAGGTTTTAGGTTCAGAGTGGTTTGGATACGTTGCCTTATGGGCACCTCTAGCAGGCGAGCTTAAAGATGCACATGCAGCAAAATCTTCAGTGCTGCATTAACCTTTTAAATGCCCAATGCCCACTGATGGGCCCAAAGTTTGTTACACGCTTCTAAAACCTAAAAATAGCTTAACCATTTTGCACTAAAGTCCCTGTAGTTACTGAATAATAAGCCCTAGTATGTAATAAGCCCTGCATTTTAAGAGTAACTGTCCTGTATACACACTGTCGATGTTAATTACACACAACACCACTTTTATTAACCTAGCCAATGTTTATCAAAGCAGTTAAGGCCAGTCTTTCTAAATAACTATGGTATATGTGAGAATGTATCAGTTCCTACACCTTTAAAATGGTTCTTCATGGGTTCTTTAGTAAATCCAGTGGTTACAAATAGAACTATGACATCTCAAGAAAAAATGTTATGTTTAAGGGGTTCTTTTGCATGGTTTATTGGTTCTACTCTATGATGGAAAATCTGTTGTATAGGGTTCTACATAGCACCAAAAATTGTTACAAGTCATAGAACCCATTTTGGTAAGACTATATTTAAAAAACAGCTTTTAAACATTGTCAAAAAAATGTATGGAAATGTCCTGTTTTTCACCTTTCATTCCAAGATGACGCATATTGGCCGGGTTAAGAAGAGTCATCATATGTACAAAAAAATAATTCAGTTTGTCCAAAGGGAAACATTGTGACACCGGTCCTGTGGTCAGACGCTGACCACTGATAAAGAGCTGTAGAGGACAGTAGAACACAATGAAAAGACTGTGCATGGAAGAGAGAGAGAGCAGTAAGTGGAGGTAATAAGGCTATTAAGAACAGGGCGTATAGACATCAATAATTTGTGTTAGTATTTATTTATTTATTTACTCATTTATTTATTTATTTATTTGTGGAATGCAATCGTGTCCCTTTAAGGAACCATTTTTCCCACATGTGATCGGACAGAGTGGGGATGATGCCGTTATGTAAAGTACTGTGTAGAATACAGGGTCTGGTTCCGGTCTCAAACAAAACACGCAAAGTGCACCGTTTGCAGGACAGACAGAGCTCAGAGTTACTCCCGCTGCGAGAGGAGGGCGAGCTGCGGCCTGGCTGCTCCCCTGTAGGTCAGGTAACTTGGGCGAAGGTATGGCTACTTGCCGCCTAACGGTTTGTTCTAGCTAACTCAACGTTGCCGAAGGGCTGTGGATCTCCCCCGATTTCCACCAAGGCGCAAAACGAAGTTACTGCTTCGTTTCAAACGCGAACAACTGAACGGTTGCGAGGATCCTCCAGCGAAGCGCCGAGCATACCGAGAGGCGGCAGTGGATTGTGGAGCTGTTTTGCTGCCTGGCTGAGTGATTGTTTGGTTTGGAGGCGGTTCAGCTCAGCTCAGCTCAGCTCCACGCGGAAGACACCAGAGAGCAGCAGCCGAGCCAACGCATCGTTCACCTCAGTGGGAAGCTGCATGCTAGCTGATTAGCACTGGGCTCACTTTAACCATGCAGTCGCTCAGGATTTGTGGGATTTGAAGGCACTCGCGGGTAAGCGTCACATCGTTAAGGATTTACTTTATGTCCGCTGTGTTGTGGTAGCGAGCAGTTTCTTCAGTTTAAAGTCCTTGTTTTGGACACAAGACAGTTTAAAACCTGTCCTAACTTTACCTGTTTAGAAAGGGGGCACGGAGCGAGTCGCATTGTGGTAATGAATTGATGTTAGCGGTCTGACACCAGTCTTACGGATGGTGGGCGAGTGCTCGGTCATGGATCATGACATGTCATTAGCTCGTTAGCATCTTGTGCGCGTGCGTGTGTGTGTGTGAGCGCGAGACAGAGAGGGAGAGAGTGGATGAATGAATGAATGAGTAAATGTGAGAATGACAAACCGCTGTGTAGTGTGAAAAAAGCAATCCGCGTTTTATCATCTCGAGAGAATCTGTGCAGGAGTGTTTGGGTGAGTTTTCATGCCACATGCTTTGCACACAATCGCGTAGGACATGTGCTGTGCACACGGCACGTCATTAAGACAGGGGGCTCAGGGAGGGGGTTCACTGGAAAATCAAGGAAAACAACCACACGTAGCCAAAGCTTTTCAGAGTTAGGCTGACTGCACCAGAGGTTTGTGTAGTGTGTGGATCTGAGTCGTAAGTAACCTAAACTCCTGCTGTGCTACTGCTGCAGGTGCAAGTTATGTATGCACGGAGGCTAGGAGCTCGGTGGTGACGTCATTACTGGTCAACAGCATGTGGAGGTTTAAAGGGGCGTTGCGACCTAAGATGAGATTTTAATGTGCTCTATTGCGCAGCATTATATCCCTTTTACGTTTTTTTTCCAGTGTTCTTTCACTACAGTACCCAGCATGCATTACGCATATACAGCATACAACTATTGGGAATCCCTGTGGTGTCAATTAACGCTGCCAGCCTACCTATAGGCTATACAACCGTGCTAGGCCCCCAAAAATCCACCCCAAAGCAACTGCATTTTTTCAGCTCTTCCTTCACCCTTTAAGATACATCATCAGAAGAGGACGTGCTAGCCTTTGAACTTGTAAATCTCACTCTAGAGACCACCACAGCATTGATGTTAGAGGCATATAAGCATATTTACCACAGATGCAGCAATGGGTAATGTTTTTATTTTGGTCAGAGTGTGCCTTTAAACAGGCCAAAACATCTACAAAGCAGTCGTCAGCTACACACATTTTTAGGCGTTGACAGATCAAAATGTGAAATTGTTATGTGTATGCATGGCAGAATTTCATTTGGGCAGTTTTAAATAGCCCTATTATATGTTTAAAAGTATATAGCTTAATTAGATATATAGTATTTATAATAATTGTAAATAAAATGTTAAATAAATAAATACATTTTACCCACTTCCTAAAACGAAAACACAAGAGGAGAGGCGTAGAATGTAAACAGTGTGAAAGACTGCATTGACATTTAAACCTGCTAAAAAGCACTCTTTTTGTTTTTAACAAATTAAAGTAGTATTTCACAGGTCATACCCATCCCAAGTGAATCGTGTGCCAGTTCATCATGAATCATGAATAGATAAATGAAGAATATGAAACTCATTGCAAGGAAAATCTCCCTTGACCAAAATATAGTTTTTCACTTCCCTGTTATGAGATATTTAAACATATTTGAAAACTACCTGATTCTGTGGAGACAAGGCTACATTTTACTTTGTTGATGACACATGAGAAGTATTCCGAGAGTCGACTTTTACTGGAAATAAAATGAAGAGCTCTCTTTCTTGTGTGTTTAAATGATTGTTATAAAATTGAGGTATTTGTCGTGAGACCGGATTAGGAATACAAATGTTGCCCTACTGAAGCAACAACTACTGGATACTGATTGATTTCAGGCTAGACAGATATGTACTACTTCATGTTCAGCACTAGATATTTGTCTCTTTCTGCCATTAGCAGAACCAATTGACTTTCAGGGACAACTTCATACAGAACATACAGAAAGTGGATATTAAGTTCTGATGTCGTTTGAATCTTGAAGAAAATAAATATCCAAAATATCACTTCCGGTTGAGGAACGTTGCCCAGTTTGGCTAGTCCTACAAATAGTGTCATTGCTCTTGTCAAAAATGTCAAATTCCTGCAGTGTCCTTCCTACATATGGCACATACAAATGTGGCTGGTTACTTTGATGCAATATCATATACAGAGTAACTAGTTCTCAAAAGTCAGTCACCTCAAAAACATCAGTGACCTGGTAAAAATGAAGTTCTGCATTTTGGCGAGGGGTAAAGCTTATCTTGCTGTGACGCAGCAGGAAGAATTTGCAAATATCTGCGTCTGCCACAAATTAATTTAGCTTCATGTTTTGTCTTGTTGGGATACTGATGACCACTGGTGTAGTTCTCAGTCTAGTAAGGCAGTAGATAAGGTTGCAGTGTGAGTTTTAACCAGTGGACAGCAGTAGATATTCGCCTCTACAGTCATTACGAATTGCTACATACTAACTAGGTCTGCGTGGACATAAAAGTTGTGGTTTGTTAAAGGTATTGGATATGGTGATGTTGATATTAGAAGTCATAAATTCTGTTTTTCTTACAGGATATGCAGCAAGTATAGACTTATTTGCTTTGTAAACCTCCCCTAAATCAAATAGCAGATGTTTTTGTGCATTGTAAGGCTGTTAGAAAACAGTCAGCATTCCCAGAATAGCCTTTCTGTATAGGCTACAAAGACTAATAAATGATTTTTTCCCCTATATTTCCTATATAGACCTACAAAAAAAATACATATGCATATTTTTGTTTTATGTATGGGCATACAAAAATGAAAAAAATATATTGATTAATTAGAAAGCTGTTTATGGTGATGCAGTTTTGTTGTGACAGTAGCTATCACTGCACTCTCTCTTCAAGCAACTCTGGAATTGAATATAATAGTCACATTTAGAGCGTTTGAGCTGTGCACATGTGTGTGTGTTTTATATGCTTTGTCATGTTGGATCTAATGCCATGTTCCTGCCAATTTAACTACATCGCTGTTGCTGTGCCCGTGGCACAATTTCATCCATGCTGTTATCGCAGTCCTTAATAACATGTTTATCACAATAACGATAAAAATAAAGTTTCATGTAGCGCTGATAATAACCATTGAAATTATGAATGTGTACTTTCGTTGTCAATACCAATAATATTAATATTTTAGCTCAATACTTGCCCAATACTACCACCAAGAATTACACTATATATGTCCAAATGTTTATAGATACCTGCTTATCCAATGTTTCTTTTGAAGTCTAGGGTATTAGTAAGGAATTTGTCCCTATTTGCCACAGCCTACTCTTCTGGGAAGGCTTTACACTAGATGTTGGAACATTGCTGTGAAGATTTGATTGTATTCAGCCTCAAGAGCATTAGTGAGGTCAGGTACTGAAGTTGGATGATTAGTTTTGGATAACAATTGACAATCCAGCTCATCCCAAAGTTATTGGATCGAGCTCTGTCACTCCTGGAGAGCATGCAGTTCCACTGCTCCACAGCTCAATGCCAGGGAGATTTATACCCCTCTGACCAACACTTGTGTTTTGAGGGGTGCTAATTACACAATTAGGGGTACAAATTAGGGGGACACTTATATGGTGGACTTAGACTCATGTACAGCTGCTCCAGAGGGTCCCATTTTATTGGTAGCGCTTTTCTGTGACTTTCCAACTCAAAGCCAGTTTAGTGGGTTACTAAGTGAGGGACGTGATCATAATGCATTTTATTTTTAGTCAACTTTATTTATTTATTTTTTTTGACTGCTCACCAAGCAAAAGTTTGACTTTTCACTTGCCCATTATGTTGTTTAGCACATTTCAACGTAAAGAGGGTCGTTAAGCAAGGGTCTAAAGTTCATAATGACAGTCCTGTAAGATCACATGTTGTTCAATGTTTTTCGACATGTAACTCCACAATTGCAGTAGCATGTAGCCTACAGTACACAAAGCCATTGACTTTTTCTCTACATAAAAGACTCTTCTTTTATTGCTGATGATAATTTTTAACACAACCTTGGCTAAAATTATTTGGCCACACCCACCTTGTTTTGGGGACAATAACTTGCTTTATGTTTTGTTTCCCAGCTCACTTTTCTGTCTATAGATAATGTAATGTGATATATTACAAGTAGCAGTGAAAGATTGAGTGGCTGGGCATAACCAGATGGCATTAATGTACTATTCTTGTGTTTTCTCTGCAGTGAATGCAGGTGTTTGAGTCTGTTAATCCCACTTTGTGCATTTTCTGTCTCGTTAAATTAACTCTGTAATTTATTTCATAATGAATTTTGTTTTTAGTCATTGAAAATGTGGTGATAAAGATTTCTGGCCAGAAGTCATTATTCTGAGAAATCTTTTTCACATTGTAGTAGTGATGTTATTGTGTCATTGCTGATAATGCCTGTTAGATATGGTTGTAATGATAAATGGATGTACTAAAAAAAGCAGGCTTAGGTCAGTGGTTTACCCTCATCGTAAGTGACCTAAAAGCATTTATGTCACGAAAATAATGAGTTTAGTTTGCTAACATGTTCACCAAATAAGTGTGAACATGCTCAAACATGTTCTGGGGTGCGTGAGCTGCTATTATGCTTAGTTTCACCATTAATTTACTTTGATGTTAATTGAGTTAAAACCCTGGAAACTTTATTAAGTAAATATATTCAAACTGCATCATAGTGTAATGGATTAACTGAGTGGTCCAGCCAGTATCATAATAATTATGCAGCTAGAACAGAAGTGTTCTAGAGCAAAGTGGACATTACAGACTCAGCTGTAGATGGTTGGTTGGGTCTGTCTCACTGGACAGGCATACACAGCAACCTCCAGTGTGTTAAAGATATTATTTTAATGATCTGCAATGGACAGATGGACCAAGAAGCTCTAGTTTCAGGCAGGTACATTCCTCTGAGCTGAACAATTTCAGCAGGTCAAATTTAAAAAAATCTTCAAAAGAGATAGTGACCAAACAGGGCATTTCAAAAAGTCCTTAGCATCTGTAAGAATAGAATGGAACTAGTTATGATTTAG